AAGACCCTGTCTCCACAAGACAATACAAAAAAATTAGCGGAGCATGGTGGCACATGCATGTAGTCCCAGCTACTCAGGAGGCTGAAGTGGGAGGATCACTTGAGCCTGGGAGGCAGAGGCTGCAGAGAGCTCTGATTGCATCACTGCACTCCAGCCTGGGTGACAGGGAGAAACCCTGTCTCAAGAAAAAAAAAAAAAAAGACTGAAAAAAATACAGCATTAAGAATGATTATACAGTGGTATTAAGAGGTGATTATTATGTCCTCCTTCATATATTCCTAGACTGTCCACATTTTCCACAATGATATATTTTCGAAAAATAATTTTAGAAGAATATTTCTAAATAATAACAGAGTAATTCCAAAATACATTATTTTTTAAATAAAAATGGCATTACAAATCAACTTACAAAAACTCCAGACAGTACTTAGAATAAGATTTATATTCTGACCATATGCCAGTAAAAATAAAAAGGAAATTACTACATACACACATAAAAGATAAATGAATTTTATTTGTGAATGTATAGATGTATAGCAAATAGGAAAGATAATACATTAAAATATCATCTACTATAACCAGGTAGAGTTTTATCTCAGCAATTTAAGGATGTTTTGATATTACAAAAATGCTTAATATAATCGTATTAGGCAATTTAAGTGATAAAAATATGATTGTACCAATTCCTTTTATCAAGCTTTTAGCTTCCAACAAACAAGAATAGAAGATGTTATTTCTGTTATCCTAACAAAGAACCTTTGTTTAAAACCAACAATTGACTTCATATGTAATGAAGAAATATAAAAAAAAGTATAATTTTATGAAACACAAAAACAAAACAGAAATACCTATGAGATTTTATATTTAGAAATAGCAAACAGACCATGTAAAACTGTTAAAGACAATCACCAAAAGATACATATTTTAAAAGTTAATAGCTTTCTAATGATAGATTCCCATGCTGATAGCAACACAGATATAGAACAGCCAAGAATCAATTTAATAAGGCATATATAAAACCTAGAAAAAAAGAAGAACCAGGTATAATGAAAAAAATCAAGAAGCATGACAATAATGGACATTAAATCCCTTAATGGAAAAAATTACTATCATAAATATAAGTCTTAAAAAATTAACTTTAGATGTAGACAAGTCAAATTGAAGCACTAAAAAGATGTTGACCTTATGTAACACATTCCTTAGGGGAAAATATTTTCTAATATTGGAAAAAATATGGCTAGGCATAGTGGTTCATGCCTGTAATCCCAGCATTTTCAGAAGCCAAGGCAGGAGGATTGCTGGAGCTTGGGAGTTCAAGACCAGCCTAGGCAACATAGTGAGACCTCATCTCTACTAAAAACCTAAAAATATTTGCTGAGTGTGGCAGCATGCACCTATAGTCCCAGCTACTAGGGAAGCTGAGGCAAGAGAATGGCTTGAGCCCGGGAGATCAGGGCTGCAGGGAGCTATAATTGTACCACTACACTCCGGTCTGGGCAACAGAGCAAGACTTTGTCTCAAAAAATAAGTAGGGGAAGGAGGAAAAACAATGAAGACCAATATGATAGTGATTCACATGGATTCAAATACAAAGTATAATCCATTATATGGCAAAAAATATGTCTTCACTAACTAGTGTTACAATTACCAAGAATAAATAATGTTTCTGCTCACAGTTAGGGAGCAAAAACACACAGCATTGCAGCATAAAGTAAGTGCTATGCTTGGCCTGTGAGAATGCTGCAGGAGCCACCTCTTTTGGAGTCAAGGGTCAACCTGGCATTTTGAAGAATCCAGTTTTGCCAGGCTGTGAGGTAGAAAGAAGGAAGAAGGAATGGCACTTATAAAAGAGAGAACATCAGGCTGGGTACAGTGGCTCACACCTATAATCCCAGCACTTTGGGAGGCCAAAGTGGGCGGATCACTTCAGTTGAGGAGTTCGAGACCGGCCTGGCCAACACGGTGAAACTCCATCTCTACTAAAAATACAAAAATTAGCCAGGTATGGTGGCACATGCCTATAATCTCAGCTACCCGGGAGGCTGAGGCAGGAGAATCACCTGAGCCCAGGAACGGAGGTTGCAGCAAGCTGAGATCATGCCACTGCACTCCAGCCTGGGCAACAGAGTAAGACTCTGTCAAAAAAAAAAAAGAAAAGGAACATCATTTACAGAGAATCACAAGACAAAACAGCACATTCCAGAAATTCCAAGTAGATCAAGTACATAAAATGTTGGTCAGCATTTTTAAAACTCAACTAAAGTCAATATTCAAAAATCAGAAAATTTCTCATAACAATCTGAATTTCTGGCTTCGTTTAAAAACACTGGGAAATATGACAAAGTGGGCCCACATTCCCACATGGATACAAGAGGCAGGTGTCCCTTTTAGATGAGACAGTTTGCCATAGCACTTCTCCCTTCCCCCATTTCTCTTGCATCCAGTCCACTTCATCCATTTAACTCACCTTCCTAGTCCCTGCAGGCATGTGAGTTTATGACTACTACCCTGCATGCTGAGGACCAAGGAAAGTTTCAGCAGGAAAAAAGCAGTATGATTAGTTTGCTTTCAAAACATCAGTCAGCCAGATGGAAGGCAGGGAAAGAAAAGAGTGTAAGGAGACCAGTGAAATCCACAAAGCCTATTCTATTAAACATTGAAATAGGGTTACCAACACTGCAGTGGGAACAGGGCACCTTTTTCCAAAAACTCCCATTACACATAACTTGAAAACTACTGAGGTATGTATCTGTGGAATATACACAGGGAGGTGATGAGGGTTTGAAACAAGGCCGTGTGTAAGGGGTGGAAAGAAAGGGGCAGAGAAGGATAAATATTTGAGAGGCTTTTGAGGGGGAAAAACTCTCTAACACTGGGTTGCCGGTTTGACACAGGGAACAAAAAGAAAGAAAAGTATAGGACAATTTACAGCTTTTGCCTATGGCATTAGGCAGACAGTGGTGACATTCAAAAATAAGAAAATAAAAGGAGGAACAAGACTAGTGGAAAATTTGTAATTCAATTTAGACTACATTGAATTTATAGTCTATAGACATGCGACTTTACATAAAAAACCCCAAAAAATCACCAAAGAAAACTTCTCCAACTGTAACACATTAACAGCTGAATCATGAGATGAAAATTAGAGAAAGACAGGCATGATTACATAAAACATTTTACAGAATGAATACCAACAAAACTAAGATTAAAGTAGACTATTACAGAATTGAGTAAAATACTGCAACGAAGATTACAGAGGACCAATAACTTCACATATAAAAGCATCATGATAAGATATAAAAACAGAACATAAACATGTAAAAAGCCACCAAGTCTCTCAATGTAAAGGAAATGTATTTATCCCCTACACTGTTTCCATTAAGGATTTACGATAGCTTACTACAAAAATATACATAGTAAAATGGTAAGTGTAAATCGTAGAATTAAATGTAAAAATATTTTTTAAAAAATTATCACCAGAAGAAATCTGGACTAGAGAAAAATCAAAATATGTGGAATGTAAGGGCTTTCAGGAATATTGTTGACAATGAAAGTAAAAAGGTCAACACAAGTTCACGACTCTTTACTATCCATTAGGAGAAACCACAGAAAGTTCTCACTTGAAAAAAGACATCTTTGCTTTTTCCCCAATTGGAAGATAGCATTTCATGACAAAAACTTCTCTACATTAATTTAGCTTTATGAAAACTTATTACACTGTCTCTGTTTCTCAAATGTTATGTTACTGCAGGACAGTTGAATTTAAAAAACAACAACAATGCTTTACACAATGACATTTGGGAATAACTACAATAAACAGAACAAATTTAATTTCATAAAGCTGCTTCTTGTGGTACCCCTTGATGAAAATAAACCACTAAATACTGAAATGTAGCTCAATGAACACAGCTAGGTAGGTGGAGAGCAGGGAAGAAGGGAGAAAGGAGAAAGTGATCATGAAAGGGGGGAGGTATACAGACTTCTGATGGTCCATCTGATCCACAGAAAGAGTGGATACGATTTAAAGGAATGGTGAACTACACATCCTTCAAGCTATAGCAATTGGGCTTTGGTAAAAGTTCAGTAAGAGATGAAGAGCAGACAGAGTGAGGTAGAAGTCTCTGGAGAGAACACAAAGGTTACATACTCTGTAGTACTGGCTGAGGATGGACCTATAGAAATTGAGTATCATCCAAGCACAGCACTGTTGACATCCTTTTATGAAAACTGCGGAGCTTCATTAAAGGCTGCCCCACATCGGCGTAAAGGAGGGCCCCATTAATAAAAGGCCAAATATAAAATGACAAAATAAGGACAATCAGAAAGCAGGCACCAGAAAACCATTCACTCATACAAATAGTGTAAAAATGCAAATGACAGTATCCTTTAGCACCTATAAGCTAAGCAAAAGTAAAAAAAGAGCTTGAAAAATTCAATATTCTGCAGATTTTAAGACAAGAGTTATATTAAAAATTTGTTAGGCTGGGTGCAGTGGTTCATGCCAGTAATCCTGGCACTCTGGGAGGCTAAGGCAGGCAGATCGCTTGAGCCCAGGAGTTCAAGACTAGTCTGGGCAACACGGCAAAATCCCCTCTCTACAAAAAAAATACAAAATATTAGCCAGTCATGGTGGTGCATACCTTTAGTCCCAGCTACTCAGGAGGCTGAGGTGGGAGGATCACCTGAGCCCAGGAAGTCAAGGCTGCAGTGAGCCGAGATCATGTCACTGCACTCCAGCCTGGGCAACAGGGCAAGACCGTCTAAAAAACAAAAATTGTTAGAAAAAGGAAAGTAGTTAAATAAACTATGACGTATTAATGTATCTGTGCAAAAACATGATTATGTATGATGTGAACAAATATAGAAAGATAATTATGAAGCCATATTAAGTAAAAAAAAAAAAAAGTGTGCAAAGTACTCTATGATTGCCACAATATAAAATGAGAAAAACAAAGGTGGACCACAGAAGTCAGCAGAGCTCCATCCACCCGGCCTGAGGAAAGCACTAGGCACCACAGGCAGAAGTTGCCACCTTCAGCACTCGCCCTGGACTGGCCCCACCTGCACTCAATTTTAACCTCTCTGCCTGCTCAATGCCCAGCCCCATCCCCAACCACCCATGCCTGACTATATCCTTCCAAAAGGAGATTTTCTCCTTTTCCATCTTCTTTACTTCTCACAACACACGGTGAGGTAGATATTATGACCATTACCAATCAACGATTAAGTGAATGAATGGTTACAAATTAAAGCTAAACAGAAGCCTTGTTTTCTGATCTTCCAAGCTGAACAAGCTTCTTCTTAGTTCACTGACCTCCTTTAAGGTTTACCTGGGCAGGGCTTCTTGGCCAACTGAGCAGGGACAGAAGTCAGAGGACCAGCTTCTGCAGCTCTAGCTGCGTGCACTCCTTGCTTCTCAAGGCCTTGTGAACGCTCAGTAGAAGATGATGAATTACCTACGAAGAGGAAAGGGATAAGTTTTCCTAAGATACCCCCCAAGTTTCATTTTATGTTGTGAGCAACAGCCCAGCTAACCAGACATCAGACAAGACTCCCAACACCTGGATTTGGAGAGTTCATGTCTTCTGGATTTTAAAAAAGTGTGTGTGGGCCGGGCACGGGGATTCACGCCTATAATCCCAGCACTTTGGGAGGCCAAGGCGGGTGGATCACGAGGTCAAGAGATCAAGACCATCCTGGTCAACAGGGTGAAACCCCTGTCTGTACTAAAAATGCAAAAATTAGCTGGGCATGGTGGCGTTCGCCTATAGTCCCAGCTACTCAGGAGGCTGAGGCAGGAGAATTGCTTGAACCCATGAGGCGAGGTTGCAGTGAGCCGAGATCGCGCCATTGCACTCCAGCCTGGGTAACAAGAGCGAAACTCTGTCTCAAAAAAAAAAAAAGTGTGTGTGTGCACACGTGTGTGTGTATAAAAAATAGAGAGTAAGCGGAAAGTCACTATGTAGCAGGAGAGACTCACCAAACAAAACCAGATGAAGACAATGACAGGCCCTAGACATAGCTGAGGGTAGAAGGAACCTGCCACCAGGTGTATAGGGTGGTACCTGCCGCCCTAAACAGCCTCTGACACTGTATATGCAGAACCCTCTCTACCTGTTCTCACTATGTCTGACAGTAACACCCCAACACATGAAAACCCCATGTACACACTGCCATGTGTGTACCTATGCAACAATCTTGCATGTTTTTCACATGTACCCCAAAACCTAAAAAGCAATT